CGTGAGCATAGTTCTCCAGGGGGCAGACAATATCCGCCCGAAGGCACTGAAGGCTGTGGCCAACATGCTAGCTGAACCACTGTCACAGTTCTTTCAAAGGTGCTTTGATGAACAACAAGTACTCACTATGTGGAAGTGTGGCATTATAACCCCTATTTTTAAAGGCGGTAGCCGTTCAGATCCTTCAAACTATCGTCCAGTGACTCTCCTCCCTGTACTTGCGAAAGTGTTGGAAGCAGTCGTCGCTGAGGCTTTGATGGACTACCTGGAAAAATGCAACATCTTGGTACCGGAACAGCATGCCTTTCGTCGACACCGGTCATGCACCACCAACCTATTCATTGCACGAGGTAGTTGCACGGAAGTGGTCGATGATGGGGCCGGAGTAGACGTCATCTATCTGGACTTCTCCAAATCTTTCGAACGCCTTGATCACCGCATCCTACTTCTAGGGCTACAGAGTTACAGAATCGGAGATCCTGTACTTCGTTGGACTGGCAGCTTCCTTCACCAACGGAAGCTTCAAGCACGTGTTAGGGCACCATCCGCTAACCCCATTGAGGTGGAACGTGGTGTCGCACAAGGCTCAGTACTGGGACCGCGCTTATTCCTGGTGTTTATCAACGACCTGGCAACAGTTATCTCCTCCAATTTCCTGCTTTTCGCCGATGACGTCAAGACATGACGGGCGATTGGTAACAAGCCAGATCAAGACCTGCTCCAACATGACTTAGATTGCATTTAGGAATGGGCAAAGAGGAACAAGCTTCAACTGAACATAACTAAGTGCAAAGTGATACATCTGCGTCACCAGCCGGTGAGCGCTTACAAGATTGGAGACCACACCTTGGAGAAGGTCTCTCAGGAGCCTGACCTGGGTATATTGGTACAGGAAGATCTTGGGTGTTCAAAACAAGCAGAGAAGGCGACGAGAACCGGCAATAAACATTCCGGCCTTCTTCGCAGAGCCTTCGGTCGGTTTGAACCGTCAATCTTTCCCCAAATGTTTAATGCCTACGTGCGACCTTACGTGGAATATGCTATTCAGGCGTGGCAGAAACAGGATCTCGTTGCTCTCGAGACTCCTCAACGACGGGCAACCAAGAACGTCAGGGGCCTCTTTCATCTGCCCTATCAGCTTAGACTGAAATCTCTAAGAATCTACAGCAGTCGATATCGGCTTTTGCGGGGGGATCTCATAATGGTTTACCAGATTCTGTAGAACCCAAACCACATTTGCAGCCCGCTGCTGGAATTGAACCGTAACACCAAACTAAGAGGTCACCCTCTGAAACTGACAACTTAGTATAGCCGGCTTGAATGTCGTAGAAATTTCTTTTCTCTCCGAGTGTGCCAAACTTGGAACGCCCTCCCAAATTATGTCGTCTCTGCTCCCAATCTGGCGATATTTAAAAAACGTGTTGACGATGCATTGTCTCACTTACATTTCATTTTATGACTTGTTAGCCAGGGGCTACAAAACGCAATCAAACGGTGTCGTGCCAAACGCCTAACCAATGGATTTATGGATTGATACGTTTAATACGCGAACATCACTGCTATTCCACATAAGTCTATGGTGAGTCCACCACAACGCTTTTCACTTTATCATGCAATGGATTTTCGCAATAATTTCCATCCTACTGGACTTGTTAAGCAATGTTTTTTTTACCCGTAATAAATCATTGTTCCATCAACGGAAAGAAGCGTTACCCGGAAAACTTGACGTTCACCATAATGCACTGAGTTTGAGTGAAGTGAGACCTGTCTGTGTCATGAGCGCAACCGAAATGCGTACCGCATCACAAATGAAATTCCACTGATTACGGTCATCCATTATCGTCCCTTTTATGGTACTAGACTGCGATTCTGGAACGTTCGTTCATGCAACAGTCAAAGCATGGTGATTCCTTCTGTTGGTTTCAAGTTTGTGGGTATTAATGGATGCTGTTTTAAAAGGGCTGTGTGTTTGTGGGGGCCGCTTCACCCTAATGTTGCTCGGCGCTGCTACCGGAGTCAATGCGTTTCCTCCGGCGTTTGCATGGAGTCAACTGATGCGTACGATGCCCGATCTATATGGTGGACGAGCAGCGGCTCGGAGCTGCCGTTATCACCACATGCTTGATTTGGACTGCATGGCTGAAAGGAGTGGAAGCCGACATGCTCGTTGCTTGTCTGCTTTTGTGAGTGAGATGAGCCGGAGGATTTGGAGATACAGATTCTGTCATGTGGTTGGAGCGTCTGGCAATCTTCTTTGGCTTAGTGGAGGAGCTTGCGATGATTGGTTGCGGTACTAGTTGGGCCATATTTACCACCGTGGGTGAAATCGTAGTATTCACTAAATGCGTCATGTCCCAGTCAACATATCGTATTCCTTCGTCTGCACACATAAACAGAGGACAACTGGAACGATTTGGTATATTGCGACTGGAGCCGCTCTGTTATTGTCCAGATCTTCAGAGCAGGTTCGCATTCAGAATGCGACAATCATAGAGGAATCAGTCTGATCCCCATCGCCATCAAATTATTTGCCTCTGTAACCCGTCACAGACTGAATGGCACTCGTGAAAGCCACGTTCGTAAGGAGCAAGCCGGATTTCGTCGTGGTCGGGGATGCATCGACCACCCATTCACAATACGTCAGTTGCTGGATCACCGTCACATATATTGGCGGCCCACCGTTGTCGTGTTCCTCGATATCAAAGATGCATTCGATTGGGTGGATAGACGTACACTTTGGGATTGTCTACTCAGGAAAGGTGTACCTGAGAAATATGTAAATATTATCCGAGCGCTTAACGCGTGTAGCTCAGGCAGAGTGAGGGCTTACGGCAAGCTGTCGCTGCCCTTAAATATCTCAAGCGGTGTAAGACAAGGATGCCCGCTGTCACTTTTTCTCTATAACTTCGCTACTGAGGAAGTCCTAGAAATCGGGTTTACAGGACACGACTTAGAAGGTGAAGAGTTGCTCCCAGGTGAACGACTTCGTGACTTGTAGTATGCTGACGATATTGCCCTCTTCTGTGAGAGCTTCCAAACCTGTCAAGCGGTACTGGACAGAGTAGCACTGGCTGTCAGTCGTTTCGGCCTATGCTACGCATCATCAACGTGTAAAGCTTTCCTTCAAGATTCGCAGGGACCGTCTCCTGCGCTGACCCTTGGTGGGGATCAGCTAGAAGTCGTTCAGAAGTTCAACCACCTAGGTAGTTTTATCAGCTCCGTAAGAATTAAAGACAACGTCACAAACCGTATAACAAAAGCACGAAGCGCATTTACTAAGGTTCGCCACGTACGGCAACGGCGCGACATCACTCTGGCCTTGAAGTGTAGAGTGTACAATGCAGCGGTACATTCGACCATACTGTACGGTTGAGAAACCTGGCCCCTATGACCGGCGGACATGAAGAGGCTAGTTACGTTCGACCATCGGTGCCTTCGCAGTTTAGCTCACATCTGGTGGAAACTCCGTGTGAGCAATGAGCGTGTTTGACCCCTTGTTTAAGGCACAGGAAAAGGAATTGAACCGCTCAGCACCGTTATTTCACGCACCAGGCTCCGATGGCTGGGTGAAGTGTTACGCATGCCAGCCCACCGAGTTCTGCGACGTGCGTTGTTTGCGCGCCGGGGTTGTGGATAGAAGAACAGGTGAGGTGACGAAGCGCTGACTTGGTCGAGAAGAATGAAGGTCCTCACTTCGAAGATGGCCTCTCGGCTCCATGGTTAGGGACCGATGGACGATGAACCCGTCTCGCTGGATACACTTGTTGACATGACTAAGAGCCGACATCAATGATGTTGGTGTTGTGAGCTTCTTTGTCCCTCCCCCTCCAACTTAGGCTCCCCTCCAAACACAATCCCACTTATTATGAATAATATGACTACTTTGAGGTACAATAGCCGGCTGTTAGCTCTGCGGAACGATGTCGATCCCTTACTGGTGACTCAGCCGGACTGCTTCTGTTTCATACTTGTGTTTTTCATTTGTATTGTGGCACAATGCATTGTTTTCCCCCTGCAGCTAAAGTGTACGATGATGATGATGTTGATGACATGTTGGACAAGACCAAAATGTGTTAGGAACCATACTTTTCTGCCTGATTTAGTAGACCTATTTTGCTGTGCGCTTTGGTTGAAACGACCTACTGGAGGTAGAACAGGTTACGCCGATTCCACGAACTTTACCGCAATCCTCTGAAGAGCAAACGCTGTGGTACACTATGTTTAGAACGTTGGCCATACTTTTGTCGTTGGCAACGAGGTCTATTCGAGCAGTCTCAGCGGCAATTGCGCTCACACAGGTTTGATGAGTGTTCTGTGGGCTAGGCGTGCACGTGACAAGGAGACGCGTCAAAGCACACTCACGAGGCGAGCTAACTGACAGCCAGCGGATTAAATTTGTCAGACTTACGGGCGACGTGGCTGCACTGGTTGGTGTGATGGGGTGAGCCGGCGCACTGGTTGATAAGGTCACACGGTTACAAGAAGTGTATACCTACTGTCAGGGACACAATGAGGGTTTACTGTAAACGGCGTCTAATGTGTGGTCTAATTAGCTGTGCTTAGGAGACAATCAGAAACACGAAATTAATGTACTGGTCGAAAAGAGCGGCAAAAACCGGTGAACAAGTAGCTCAGAAACAAAGGTCAACTGCAGACTCTCAGCTGGTGGCCAAGACGAACGAACGCGCTGAAGAGAAATTGCTTCTGTGGCAAATAAACGGACATCAGCAGTACGTCATACAAAACGTTCATTGCCACACGACTACCTTCAGTCGAAGTCCGCGCAACTATGCAGCACCGAGGCTGTCAGCTGTGGAATGCAATGTAGACGCTTTATGCCAACTGACCACTGGTCACTGAGCAGCTCCCACACATTTTTATTGAACCTTTGGCGCTGTTGTGTATTGACGAACTTCCAAATATGAAAGATTCTAATTCCACTTTAACCAAATCTGGAGGCACAAACTACTATAATTCAGCTTGACACATGAAACAAATACCTGTTTCCGGCGTTCAGTGGTTCTGATAGCCTGTCCCAGTGACCCCGATTTTCTGCACGGAAGGTTTCCAGACCGCTACGACAAGCTTCGTGAAATCGTTTGGCTAATCCGGCGTTAGTGCTCTCAACACGAGGAACGAATCCCTGATAACCAGGAATTGGAGGATCGGTCGGACCGCGAGTGGGTGGAACTTTCATATCACGTTTCATCAAATCGTCCGCCCAGATATCCATGTGGTCGCGCACATGTGGATCTTCTGAAATGGGTCGAAGCGGAGGAAACAGGCCGGCGGCTTCAGCAAGCTCCTCTCTTTTGTTCTCTTCGCATTTGTATTGCCGAACGAATTCGTCCACACATTCATCCGTGGTATGCCGGTACGTCGCACCATATTTATAATTCATGCGAGGTACATCCCCTACGAGAAGATATAACGGGTAGGCTGTTACGAACCGTAAAAGCTGTCCGGAAAGCTAACACAACATAGTTTAGTATAACAGGACCAAAGCCTGGCTATATGCCACTGGCTTTTAACAGGTTGCTAAATTCGCCTGAGGAGATGTAAAACAACTGATAGTGCTGGCCACACGAAACCCAGTGGTCGGATGAAGCGGATGATAAACTAACATAAATGAATAGGGAAGTACCAGTCTAGGATGGTAGAATTTCCGATCAGAAGACAAATCCCAATGCTAGACTCCGAAATAAGGAAAAATAAGTAATGCCGACGAAGCTGATCGGTGTACGAATAGGGGGAAGTGGAGAACCAAATATTGTATCGAAGCCTCAGGGAAAGGGACCGGGAGCAGATAGAGCAGAAAACCAAGACCATTAGTGGAAGCTTAATATCATCCATGGCGAGGTTACATACTACTCTCTAGTGTAGCAGTAACACGGTTAGCGTCATTCAACTACCGCTGCAGCTAAGTACATGTAGCAAGTACGCTTAGTCACTGCTTGCTAGTAGGTAGTTAAAAAGAACGTTCACGCTAGAAAAAATGGCCAGGACCGAACCAGTAGTCACCAATGCTATCATAAGATTGACAATACACCGAGCAAAAACGCCATCCTAAACGCCCTTAATAAACCATAGGAAATTTTGAGTAAACGCCCAGAGTCAGTAGTAGTAGTAGTAGTAGTAGTAGTAGTAGTAGTAGTAGTAGTAGTAGTAGTAGTAGTAGTAGTAGTAGTAGTAGTAGTAGTAGTAGTAGTAGTAGTAGTAGTAGTAGTAGTAGTAGTAGTAGTAGTAGTAGTAGTAGTAGTAGTACCAGTAGTTAGTAGTTAGTTGGTAGTTTAGCAACTAGAAATGGAGCGTACAACATCCATGGAGTTTAGCGGATAAAGGGAAGTCACCGCGTCCTAATCATCGTGGCATAGTAGTTGAACGAGAGCAACACATTTCAGCTAATATGCGCAGGACGAAAGGAAAATGTTGACAAAAAATAAAACAAACGTTTTTAATTTGTTTTTCACACATCGATTTTCTTTTTTCTTTTTGCCGTTTGCAATGTTTGGAGTATTGAACTTGTGAATCAATACAGTTATTTACACAATTCCATGTCTTCAAGTGTACTAAGCCACTGGCACTCCTCATCTTTGGGTCCCCATCCTGGAAGAAGTTCGGGTCTAATGGCGGCTAGACGCGACGTCAGTGATTTCAGGTGCTGTAGCTAAGTGGAAAGCTGACTAACACGCAGTCGCATCCAGCCAAGTTATTGTCGAGCAAATAGGGCGCGACGCGGTAGGTGCGCAGCTGCCATATGTAGGACGTGACCTAGCCATCTCAACTGGCGCAGCAAAACTAGTTTGTTACAGCGGATTACTCACATTCCCCAAGATGCGACGTCGAACGTCCTTACTCATAACTCGTTGTTGCCACCAAACACGAGCATTTATCCTTAGGCAACCATTATTGAAGGCAGAAAGACGACGCACGTATTCCATGCTAACTGGCCAGGGCTTTCTCCCATACAACAAAACTGAACGAACATACGCGCTGTGAACGCGGCCCTTTAGCGAGAATGGGACGTCTGGACGAGGTCACAAGTGCCTCAGATTGACAAATGCTGGTCAGGCTTCAGTGATGCGAAGAGAAACTTCCTTGCTGATACTGCCGTCAGCAGAAACACAGCTCTCAAGGTAGACGAAATTATCTACCTGTTCAAGTAGCGCACTTTCGAGAGTGAGCAGGAGAGCAGGTGTACGCTAATCCCGGAGCAGTACTTTAATTTCGAAGCGAAGCTCATGCCTTACTCAGATGTTCCAACCGCCAAACGATCGAGCTCGATTTAAATACCCTGAGGATCGTCACCATGTAAGGCGACATCATCAGCATACTCCAAGTCGGTCGTGCGCTCACCCGGTAGAAGCTGCGGGCCAAGATGTCGGAAACCTTCTAGAGCCCCCGACAGAAGGTCTTTCATTGCAAACTTGAAGAGCAATGGGGGCATAGGGCAGCCCAGTCGCACACTACTATTGACAGCCGAAGATGAGGAAAGCTTGTAATAGACCCTCATTCTGCCGGAGGTATGAAGGTAAAGTGCTCGTAAGATGATGGCATACTTAATTGGCACACCCATGCCTAGCAAACTACACCATAAAGCAGGTCGATTAACGGAGCCAACAGCCGCATTTATGTTTAAGAACGCAAAGATAGTGGGCCTGTGATAATCGTAGCGATGTTCGAGGGGTTGGCGGAGGGTGAAGGATTGATCTACGCATCTGCGGTCTGGAGGGAAACCAGCGTCTTCTTCACGGTAGAATGATTCACGGACTGGGGATAGTCTACGGAGCAGAATGGATGCCCATAGCTTGGAGGTAAGCGAAAGAGAAGTAATCCCGCGATGATTTACACATGAGGTGCGAGCGTCCTCCTTTAAAATCAGGACAATAACCGATCCGCCCCAAGAGGAAGGCACAATCTCTTCATGCCAACATTTTGCGAACAGCTAATTCAGCCCGTTACCCAGCACAAACCGCCGTATTTGAACAGCCACGAAGTCCGACTTATGCGGCAGACTTGAACCCATTCAAGCTTCGAATCTCGAGGCAGTCTTCCGCTTCGCTGGGTGGATTCCGTGAGAGGAGCTAGGATGGAAACAAGGAGGTTGATTCTCGACTTTCGGCAACGTGAAATAAAACTTAAGGGTAAGAATTCCGCTTCCCTCAGCCGCAGCGTGCTACAAAGTGTTTGTGCCCCTTTGAAAAGGGTCCTCGTGCAACTGCGCTTGTAACTGGCCGGATAGTTACTGCGATAGTTTAAGGTCTGCTCAGTGTGCGTCGCTTCTCGATAGACTGTTGTTTCCAAGGGCCCGGAAGCATGTCTTCTCACGAGCACATCTAACAATGGCAGCTAGTAGACCCGAAACATGGTTAGGGGATCAACTGTAACTCAGCGACAATGTCAACGTGAGACACTACCATCTCAATTGGTTGAGAATGGGGAAAAAATTATTTCCCCTTTAGGTGTCGCGAAAATGAATTTGCTTCTTGCCACTTTTAATTTTGGTTCTGCAATACTCGTTCCAGACATTCTACATGAGTCGTCCAACAGTTGCTTTTTTATACGTGATAACTCACGGTCCAGTATTACATAGCACAACATAATACATTACAGTGTTCATGGTGGTTACATCACCGCCACCAGGGACTGGTTATATCTCGTGTACTGTCGCAGATGTCCAGAAGACAGTGCTCTTGGTTGAACATGTTGCTCCGTGTTGAACATAGTCACCAAAAGCACTGAACGTAAATTCTATGAATTTGGTTGAATCAACCTCTCGGTTTTTCTAACGATCTCTAGGTAAGATGTAATTCCAAACAATTTGAAAGCACAGTATTGTCACTCCCATACACAAGAGGAATTGGTCTAGAAGCGCCCAACTATTATCCACTAACATTTCTTCAGCGTTTTACAAAGTCATTGTAATCACTAAAACAGTAGCATTCATGAGTTAGTTATAGTTATGTAGCAACACTGCACAGAACAGCACGAATTTGGTCAGAACAGGTTTTGCATCACAAACGGACTTATTTCTACTTCCAGCTGGACTAAAACCGTCGATGCCGGTATGGGAGTTGATGTGGCTTATCTGGGATTCCTAAAGGGCTTCGGCCAACTGGGTTTCAAAATGTTCTTTTGTAAGCATCACGACCGGTGAATCAGTGGTCCGGTCCTAATTCGGATAAGTAACTTTCTCCAAAGACTTCTGAATGCGAGAATTCACCGTGCCATACTCGATGCAAACGAAGTGCGGGGTGTGGTGCTTGGTCCGCGCTTATTCTTCGATCATGTAAACGATTTTGCGAGAGCAGGAATCACAAGTCTCTTGATGCTCACTGATATCACGGGCCATCAAGAGAGCGGGCGACCACCTAGAACTTCCGGAGGACTACAACCGGATATATGAGCGAATGACTCGGAACCAACTCCATCTCAACGCGGCCAAGTGTAAGACACGGAGTATATGCCGCTGATACACTTGAGAAGGCTGTCCGGGAACCAACTTGTACAGTGCGCTCCTAATGGATTGTACCTAGGTGTGTTGGTACAAGGCAATCTTGGTTGTTCACATCAAGCCAAAAAGCTTCAAATGAGCATGCCCATGTCTTGACCTATTGCAGAAGGTATTGTGGCGGTTAGACCCTTAAACTGGTTACAGATGCTCAACATATATATCAAACCACAGTCTTAATAAATTATCCACGCTTGAAAGCCAAGGTATGACCTCACCACACTCGAGGTTCCACAAGGGAGGACGAGAGTGAATGCAGAATAGCTGTTCAATCTCGTTTTCAAATTTGGACTAAAAACCTTAAGGGGACAGTATTAACACATTCCTGGCGATTTGCTAATGACGCTTGTATTCCTAGGATTCCCGGCCACGTACGTTTCCAACTTCCAAAACCGAACCCCAATTCCACACTGAGAGGCTATCAGCTAAGTCTAGCCACACAATACAACCGGTTAGAATACCGCGGCACATTTATTTCTTTTCTTATAAGCCAACTGTGGACCAACCTGTGCTTATGTTACTTAGTAACTTGTATCACCGACAATCAAAAGAAATTTTAGCAGTGAACTCATTCACTTACATTGTGACAAATTTTCGACTGACGACCAAATAACACGAACGATATGTATGCGTAGTTGAAGCTTCCAGTGAAGCCATCTGTAACTGCTTTAATTTGTTGTTACTACCTTGTTTTCCGTATTACCCACCCTTACAATTTAGGAAGCCTCTAGCGCAGTTACCTTTAACACTTGCTAAGTCATTGCTTCCGCTTTGCAGCATGATTTTACGCCAGCATAACGTTTTCTATCAAGCCAGAGTTCCTCAGCGAAAACCAAACAATTAATCCACGAAACATTTCACTAGGCTTGCGCGGCGATCATCTGGAGCGACTCCTTCGTCATCA